CTGGACTAATACAAAAAAAAAAAAAAAATTAAAAATATACAAAATTTTTTTTCTACCAAAAAAAAAATCTGTGGGCTGTAGCTTGGCCTAGTCCCCCTACATCCGTCCCCTGGTACAACCCCAATAGTGACTAGGGGACTTGGAGAGAGTAGTAATGTAGTGAAGTCGCCTAGTTAAGAATATGATATTTTTGTAAGGGAAGGGTGCCCGAATGCCTTATATGAATTGTAACAACTATGCTTAGTGGAACGCACTTTAAATTGAGGAAATTAGACCAATCACTATAAAAAAAATAACCAAATTAGATTAATACCCTAAAAAAAAAAAAACCCTTCTAGCACCGTATTTATTACGTTGATAAAACCTCAAATTGATCAAACTGACCCAGCCAATTTCTCCACCATCTCTGCCTCCACCCATAAATTTTCTTGTGTCAATGTCAAAGCTCTTGCTTTAACACACATAGATATATACCAGTATCTATATATACAAATACAGAGAAGATTCGAATTTATTGTTCACAGAGGGATCGATTTTATTGGGTGGAGAACCTGCATAATTTTTCCAAGAATTGGAGGTGAGAGCTAGAGCACCTGAAAATAGCTAAGGGTTCGTTTGATACGCAAAGGTGGAAAGGAATTCCAATTTCATGTTAAAGACAAACGGCCATAGTGGAATTCGTTTTCCCCAGATGTGACATTTTTCATAGAATTCGTTGCAATCAAATATGGCCTAATTCTAATTCTGTTTTCTTTTCAGTCCAAGATATTATTCTCGCTCATGCTACAGATATTCCAATCTCCTAAGAACAAATTATTAAGATTGAAAGTTTGATGCAAAAGTACAATATTCTAGATCCTAATGGGAAGTCAACATGTAATTATAGTGATCAGAAAGGGAAGTCACCTATGCAGAGTGAAGATAATGGTTAATTTGGCATGCAGGCCTTTTTTAAAGATAGGATTCTCATACAAAATGGTATCTACTCCATTGATTCAGTAAAGGGCCGTGCACTAAGTGTTGAAGAAGAAAATATGCCTCCTGACAGTGAATCTGATTATGAGGAATCAATAATTTGGTATGGAACTATTGAGAAATCTGAAGATATTGATGAGTATTTTTCTTGCCGAAGATATAGAAAGCTCTTACTCTAGTGAAGATATGTGAGGAAATATAATTCTTGTAGTGCCCAATGGGACGTTTTCCATCGGCAATAAGTTGTTCATCCAGTATTTTATTTGAGATTTATCATTTCCTTTATGCTTTCAACGTGCTGCTGTGCTTTTGAAGCTCTGCAGTCTGAATTATTCAGACACTATCTTCATTTCTAAGTGTAAACTGACCAGAACAATCCAAGGAAGACAGAGCCTCGGTTGTTCCTTTACCCACATTAGCTCCTTCGTCAATGGGTCAAAAGGAGGCAAAGGGCTTCCAGAGTTGAAGGGTTCAAACTACAATCTGAGGTTATTCGACAAGGAATATGCAAAATGTGCAGCTTTCTGTTAGCAAATCGATATACATGGAGAGACATAATTTATGAATGTAAGAGCACCCTGCTTTGTGGAACAGTTGGCTCTGGCATAAGTTTCTTAATAAGCACCAGAAAGAGAGAATGGTTGGGAAACATATCCATATCTCATAATTGATCGAATCATATCGACGAAAGGATTATAGTTTCACGGTAAACGAACAAGTTTGGTTTTGTCATACTATGTGATATTTCCCGTCACTTGTATTGCCCTGACATATTGCTAGATGTCAATTTGGGACAACGAAAGTGAATTAGTGATAAATTAAAAGGGGCGTTTTAATTTATTGATTTTGATTAGATCAAAATAATAATTCAAGTCGTTAGGCATCGTGATCGGAAACCTAATGGGTCACACACAAAAGAGAATCAGAAGAATGAGATTTACCAATTAATTAATTGACAAGTGTTGAATAATTAATTAATTGGGTTGTTTATTAATAGGCCCGAATTAATTAATTGGAT